GGGTGTGCATTCTACTGCCACAGTGCCATGTGGAGACTTTGACTAGACTCTTCGTATAGCGCTTATACTGCAGAAAAATATGCACTCTTGGAGACACTTTAGTTCACTGAACCGATGACATTAAAAGAAGCTGTGATATGCAGTGATTCAAAAAGCTCGCTCGAATCTATCTACTGCTTCTCGCCTTGTGACCCTCTGACAATAATTATCCGACACCTAATCCATAATTTACTGATTCGTTGTTATAATTTGTTTTTTTGTTGAATCCCAGGTCACGTTGGGATAACAGGGAACAAAATTGCTGACCAGGCGGCAAAGCTCGCCACAAAGAAAACTGAGGTAGACATCCTCCCAGCCCCAAAAAACAATACCAAGCTTTTTATCAAACATTGTATTCTCAGCACATGGCAATCAGAGTGGCAGAACTCAGAGTATAAACTTACAAATCAAGGATTCTGTAAAGCCTTGGTCCTCTTCATCTCGTGGGTCAAGACACGAGATAATTCTGACACGCCTTCAGATCGATCACTGTCATTTCTCCCACGGCCATCTTCTCCATGGTGACCCACCCCTACTTGCGATAGTTGCGATATGGATCTTACGTGGAGCATGTTTTCCTGCACTGTTCTAAGGTAAGAGATAGCCGGCGAAGTTCTAGCACAGGTACTTGGAAATGACAAATCTTCTCTCTGCAAGCTTTTTAGCTTCTTATGAGAGTCTGACATTTACAGCATTATCTGAGAGAAGAGGATTATGCCAATTATTTGGCTTATAATTTGAGATTTTAAAGTGTTTATCTGGCTATTTTCAGCCAACTCTTTTAAATAATTGAACATGTTTATATTCAGTTTTACTTACATTTAACCTTGGAAGGAAGAAAGGAGGGGGGGGGGGAGCCACGGGTGCCAATGCCCTTTGCTGTTGAAGCACCCTTAAACCTTAATCATCATCATCTGTCACAGCCTGGTGGCACCCGCTGTGCTGTGTGGAGAAGCATTCAGTTTCATTAGCCACTTGCCCCATCCCGCTATTGAAAGGATCTCTCTCGTATGTTATTAGGCGAGTAAAAGGGTCTTCGGAGAGTGATATGGTGTTCTGACAGTGTAAGAGGCATTGAAGGGTGTAAAGACTGTATTACAATTCCTAGAAACAGTGAACAATGCTAAATCAAGTATGGAAAGATCACGATCTCTAGGGAAGGTTCTAGAGAAATTATTAATGAAAAATGTACAAAGCCAACAATGGATAATAATTGATTTTTAAGAACCAATAAAGATATTGAAATTTTTAGTTCATGCCGTTAATGTATTTTGTTGTATCTCTCTATTAATGATGTCAGTCATTTTGGAGAATTTGTATTTAATTTTGACATGAATTAGATATAGTGAACCAAAAATGTTTGTCTCCAGAAGTTCACTATAATTGGAGTTGACAGTATTTATTAATAACATGTAACAGAATTTGTCTTTTTTACTTTTCCCCCTTTTTTACTTCACAAATTAAGTTAATTTCTAGTGTAAATATGAAGGTCAATACTAGGAACAATTTAAAGACTACTTTTGCAATCAGGAAGAAATTTCAAAAAATTGGACATCGATGAAAAATTGTCATCAATAAATATTTTGACCATTAATAGAAATGGAAGCTTTGCATTATTTAAGTATGAAATGTTAACAATTTATTAGAAATTGGTATTCAGATATTTCAAGTCATTACAACCTGAAGTTTCATGAATTTTGCCTAAAATTACAATAAATTGCCAGTAAAAACAATTTCATGGAAGAAAGTAAGCCATTCCCGCAACGTATGTTGATTGAGGTATCACATACACATGTTGTTTAATATAGTTGTTTTAGAATATTATGTACCTATCATTTGTATTTATGATTTACTGAATTAGTGAAATGCCTTTTTTAAAATTCCTTAATATTATCTCATAATATGTAATATTTTTTCTCCCATCTTGTAAAACTGCTGTCAAAGAAGTCATAATTACTATTAATCACAATAGAACGCTGCTGCCATGTTCATAGACACTTGATGACAGTTTTGTGTAGTCTAAAGATATTGTGTGAGTGAAGTTCAAATCTGAGTCCAGAAATTCAGCATTCAACCAGGATTCAGTTAAGATGACAATGGCCATATGGTCAGAAATCAATGAGGATCTATGTAGTAATGGTACCTTAGTGCGAAGACCTGTGACATTCTGATAATAAATATCTAATTTTGAGGATTGTGTATTACTTAGTTTTCCTCGTTTGAGAAGGAGGCGATTTCCTTTGAAACTTCTGGAAGATATGGAACTCCTTTTTTGTATCTCAGCTTCCTGACCATAAGATTTTTCTTCATCAATCTTGAGTTGGGAGAGAAAGTCCTTCAAATGTTCTGTTGTTCTGTCTAGAACTATGATTGTCAGAGATAATTTCTGATTTTAGTGAATTTACTTTAAAATTTCTATATGAATTGACCTTTTAATATTTATATGAAAATAATTTAATGCCGTTCTGAATTATTTGCAAAGTTTGATGAAAATTTGCTAAAAATAAGTTAATACGATATAAAATAAGTAAATGTACAAAAATTACAAAAGGCCAATACTATTTTATTAAAAAATTTAGACGGCAAATTCTTATACATGATCATAATGTAAATGTAATCATTAAGATAATTATTAGACTAGGGACCAAACCATTAAATATGTACACATTTTTGCAACTAAAACTTTCAAAATACATACTATAAAGTGCAAGATAGGCCTTCATTTCATGAAAAGCGAAATCTTTTCTGTTTCACATTCAATTTCACTAAAATTTTTGGGGAAACTCCATTGTGAGATTATAGAGTGACCCCATTGTAAAGTTTTTTGGCATTACAAACCTTCAAGACAGACTAGACGGTAATATAAATGATTGTGATATCTTGCATAATAGAATTACAGAAAATTTATATTATCTACAATAAGCCTCATTGATACAAATACACTACACTTAAATCGGAAAATTTAATTTTCAATTTTATAATGACATTAAATATGTGTGATCTACATATTTTCCTTGAAAACTTTTATGAAGAGTTAGCAATTTGCAGAAATATGATGCTTACTAAGAAAACATGCATTTTTTATGATTGGAAATTGGATGTTTCATAGACATACCAAGTAAGTGTACTTTCTGACTGCAGAGAAGACAATCCATTTCCATTGAAATCCAGTCCCTAATCATTGCCCATAGAAATTATAGACCTATGATAATTTCTTTATAATTAAGTAATCAATTATAATTAGTTAATTATATTGTTAAAAACATTTTAAAATATAGAAAATATCTATTTGATATGTTTATGAATTTTACATCATTTACTTGTAGCATTTTTTTCTCGGATTTCACAAGATCATAATAAAGTCAAGTAAATGTATTAAAATTGTTCAATAATATGTGAATAAGTGTCACTTTCTTATTTTGGAACAATTATTCAAACATTTGTCAGTAGCAACTTCTAAATATGTATGAATTTCAGAACCTTTTTATTCACAATTAATGTTCATCTTTGAATGATATGAAGGGGGTGCACAGCTGAAAATTAGGACACGTTTAGTTTGGAATTACCGTAATGAAAATATTTTCATTATTGTCAGATACATCTCACTTACAGCTTGTCTGTTCTTGAACAATACTTGATATTAATTGTTGGTCAAATAGTAATGTATGCAGTTAGTATCATGCATGCTCAGCTTACATTTTTCACTAGTGATAAGAGATGGTCAGTGATAACTTTTACAAAACTTGTTTTCAGTTTATTTTCTAATTTTATTTTTAATTTACCTAAAGATTATTATTAATACCAATTTGTATTCAATGCTCAAATTCATTGGAAGTATGAAAAAAACAAACAAATGAACATGGCGTTGTGAATAATCTGCAAGTCATAATGACTTGAAAAATTTGCAACCATAGCAATTATGAATATAGATTCACTTATCTTGAACCCCTGTAGCTTACAAGAAAATTTTTCGGTTATCTACATGAAATACAGGTGATGTGAATTCAGTAATTAGTAAAATTTCTACATTTTTTTATTTATTAGAAATTCAATATCATGCATTTGTCAGTCATCCTTTGAATGTGCATACTTTAAGGGAAAATAATATTTTGTATTAAAAATATTCCAGAATATTAAAAAGCAAGGTACTAATGAATTTCTTATACTAATCAAAAAAAAAAAAAAAATTAATCTATTCAATAAGAAAAGTTGAATATTCAAACAATTGTTTATTTTGTGAATATTATCTCAGTTGAAATGTATATGAAGGACTACATTACAGGTGCAATGTGAAATACGATTTCTATAACTGTGTCCTGTTTACGGAAGTAATAAACATAGGAAATTAGCTCGAAAAATTGGGGGGGGGGGGGCATTATTATTACAATGAAAATACAGCCATTTTGACTCTCGCAGTCAAAATTTTGTGTGCTTACCATTTTTCGTGTAAGTTTTCAGGTTAAGATATTTCATGTTAGATTTTGACTTGCCTCATCTGACCATTTCTTTCCAGAATAACTATATAATCCATGAAATTATTGACGTATATTGTGTTGATGGACATAATTCATGATCAATATGGAAACAGGCATTTGTAATTAGCAGTAATAGCATGTTACACAAGACATGACATTCCTTTTTTAAGAGTCATCTTCTGCCTTTAATGCATATATATAGAAATGTCATCTTAAACCACTGCTATATTGAGATTTTAGAGATGTAACAGAAGTAAATGGGTCTAAGAACTTTTCCTCTCGGTCATTGGCATTTTATATTTTGATATAGAAATATCTATAAGATTGCTTGAACAATATACTACTCACGTGAAAAGTATGTGCTGCATGATAAAAAGGTGGAAAATTCCACTTACTTTTGAGAATTAGCATGGTACATCCTAAAACACATTTGGGTGTTGCTCGTTCTCCTAGTTCTCCTAATTTTCTTCATATGGTGTGTTTTAGCCGGTGAGAGCAACCGTGCCTACCACTCGTATGGTTACTTCTACAACATTACGACCTCAATCACCTATTACTACTTCAGCTCCTTCTTTGCCTTCTCCTTTACCAACACCGGTGCGTGTGCCTAATCCCTCTTTACCTGCACCTCCCCTTCATGTAAAGCAACCCGCTCAAGTAACACCTAAGGCACCAACACCTGTGCAAATTAAAACTCCAGTTCCTGTTCACGTGAAACCTCCAGCTATAACAAAGCCTCCTGTACCTACAAAACCTGTTACCCCATCTCTCTTACCAAAACCAACAACAAAAGAGAAAGAAAAGAAGTCCTTTTCATCTGCTGGCTACACGTAAGTATATGGAAATGTTAATAAAAACTGCTTCAAAAACATGCATTGAAAGCCCTGGTGTTCACATGTATAGATTTTTAGACATTATCCCCTATCAGCACTCCCTTCACACTACTTTCTCTTTTTCTCTCTTTGTCTGTTTCAAGGTATTTCTGAGGTATTTGTGAGGATGTCCCAGCTCAAGTGTCTTCATAGATAGCTTGTCTTGGGTTGATTTTTCACATTGTGTTGTTTAAAATATTTAATTATTAAATTGTCAATTTTCTTGTGAATTAAATGTTCTGTGTCACTAATGAGAAACTATAATGGAGTTATATGCTCACAGAAGAAAAAGCTTCACTTACAATAATGTAAAAATTACAATAGAATGTTGATAATGAACACTTTTGGCTGAAAATATACCTGTGGCTTGCTCTGGTAAGATATAAAATGATTAAAACAAAATTAATTGTCATGCTAAAATTATATAAGTGTGATGAGAAAATCTCCTGAACTGAATGATGATAATAAAACAGAAATGTGAAAGAAAATTTTGATTATAAAAATATAATGTAGTACAAAGTATGGGGTGGATTATTTGAAGAATATGTAATGTTATAATATAGGAGAGGGCAACTTCTTCTCATCAATTTTTTCTCAGTGTGCACATACCATTCTGTTCAATTAATCTTATGTATCAATAATGGTAGTGTAGGAATAGGAGGTACGGATTTATATTTTAAACTTTTGTAACTTTTGAGATTCTTAATATAAATTTTCATTTATTTTTGTCAGGACCCAAATTAATGTTTAATTTTATTTGGCAAATCATAATGAGGCAATAATGAGTAGGAACTATGGAAATAAATTATATTAATTATTTTTACTTAATTGTTTTCATTCATTTATTTAATTAATAACACAGATTTCTGTTATTTTTATTTGAACGATGCAGAGAATTATGGTTGTGTCTGCAGTACCAAGAGAACACAGGAAATGAAACTCACGACCTGAAACTCTTGGATTTATTTCTCTAACTACCTGAAAAAAACTAGATGGTAGGAAAATTTCTATTTAAAAAAATTGATGTTCAGCGTAAAATGTAGTTAGTTTGAATGTTATCACAGTTCATTCAGATATGTGCTCCTCAACAATATATTGTTTTGGAAGTTTCGATCTGTTTTATCATGGCTGTAAAGTCACTGCTGCACTCACTACACTATTATCAACTTAAAAATAATGCAGTGAATTGTGTCATTGGTGCATACATTGACATTGTGATAGTGTTTAAATTTTAATCATGAAAATTAGCTTGAATTTTTCAGTGTTTCTTTGGGAAAAATATTGAAATGTTTAAAAGTACACCCAGAAAGGACAGGCGAAGAGCAAATTCTTGAAGAAAATGAAATGGGGGGGGGGGATTCAATTTAATGTTTAAACAACTCAAAATTTCAGCTGTTTAAACATTTTTTTATACTTGTACATCTACTTTTGTATTAGTTATGCACCATTCCAGGAAACAATATCAGGAGCAAAATTAAATTACTTCCTCAATTTACTAAAAAGTAATTATTTATTTTTGTACTAAAGCTGAAATAACAAAGACAATGGACTTTCATTAAAAGATAGTTGTGATACATATTCCCCTTAAAATTCCTACTTAAATATAAAAAATTTCTTTCATTCCAATATTCTGAAGTAGGTTTCAGATAATTTGCCGCCATGATTTTATGGATTTGCATTCCTGAAATCCTTAAAAAAAATTCAGAATTTTAAGAAAAATCCCAAATTGTTAGTTAACATTTCTGTTGTACTTTCAAGGTGACCAGGTGGAAACCTTGTTTTTTTTTACATATAAGTAATTGTGATCTTAGAACATAAGAAAAAAAACTTGAACCTTGAAATTTCCAGGTATAATGTTGTGTAGTGTAAATTGTGCTTCAACCTTGGAGGAGAAGGTTATATTTTTTTGTGGAAGAGGTAATACCTGCTACAAAAGGAGGAAGATAAGCTAAAATATACATATTTTACTAGAAAATAGCATAATTGAGAAAAATACAGTTTTGTTCTTAATTTCTTCTTTTGTTTATTTTTATTATTATTAATTTTTTATTTGACTAACAATAACACTTATTATAGTAAAAGTCGCTAATAATTTACTTGGGTAATAATACTGTTACAAATGTATCTTGCATATGTGTTTGTTTATTAATTTGAATTTTTTCTCATTTCTCTTTAGTTTTGTTGTCCTTTAAGTATTGTTGGTAATTGCTATTAACAGAAGAAAAGCTACATGTTAATAGATTTCTTTTATTAGTTTGCCTCTCTCAAAACTCTGTATTTATTGTAATTCAAGAGTGAAGGAAACAGGAAGCAGAACTGAGTGGGACTTCAAATAGAGCAAATTGCACTTATCGAAAATCAGACCAAGGGTATTTTTAAAAATCTCTGATTTCTCAAAAATTGCAAAAGTTAAAAATTTTTAATTTTTTTAACCCCTTCCTACAATTACGTTACTGAATAAAGAGAGATTTTCTAAATGAAAACTATTGTTTTTAATTAGATGTTTTATTTATGCCTTGTACAATTTCAAGTGAAATTGAAGTAAATTTTCGAAAACAAGTGTCGATAAGATTTTCTCAAAAATAATTCTAAATTTTCTTTAAATATTTTACCCTAATAGATTGAAATGTTCTTATTAATATGGCATAGGTACTGTTTTAATGAAATCCTCAATTTTCTAGAATTGCAGTAGTTCAAATATTTTTGAACATCTTCCTATAAATACATTAAAGATAGATTTTTCTTTATCAAATTATTTTGCAAAATATAAGAAGTTTTTGCTAAATTTGTAGTGAATTCTACACAATTTGCTGCATGAATGTAAATAAGATTTTCTCAAAAAATTCTCCAAATTTGTTTTTGTTTTTTAACTTTTCGTAAAGATAAATTCAACATCCTCCAAGACTTTGTACTTTGGAAGGCTGTTTTACCATTATACTTCAGGCTTACACATTACTGACAGCAGGCTAATGGTTTTGTTGATGTGATGCAGACTCCCTAACTATGTGTACAGTGTGATTGCATAAGTTTACTACTAAGATGAGAGTGTATGTTTCCGCACCTGAAGTCAGTATTTAATTGGCTGTCTGGGTGACACTGCATCCATGGCAAAGGTGCCGACGTTTTGATCGCCATTCTGTTACCTTCTTCAGAGCGTAACACCTGAAACCGAAACGTCAGCACCTTTGCCATGGACACGGCGTCACCCGGACAGGCAATTAAATTACTGCTAAGATGGCTATAATATCCATTATACATATTATGCATTAATGTTAGTGTGGTGTAATGACATAAACTGGAGGAAAGAAACATTTGCAATAAACAAAGCAAATATTTCAACCAGTGTCCTTCGTCAATCAAAAAGAAGATAAAGAGAAAGTTTTTTTAAAGCAGTGTTTGTGTTCTTTTGCTCTAGGTGCTCTTGGTTTTATTCCTGTATGTAATATTCAAAACAACCTTTTTGAGATTAAAAGTTTGTCTTCTTACCAGATTATGCATTAACTTCAGTCATACTTGTGGTACAGACAGTATTTCTGAAATAACAAGCCAAAGAAAAACAGGAGGAAAACATGTTCACTTAATCAGTTTCCCTCAGGTCTTGAGACATGAGGGGACTACTTTAGGGGGTCTACTTTAGGGAAGACTGGGAGAGTGAATTTAGGTTTTAATATCTGCTAAGGCTGTGCACTAAATGTGTGTCTCCCGGGCATTTTTTAAATATTATGTATTAATAATATTGAGAAATTTTGAGGTAATCTGAAGGTGTAAGGTAATGCTTACACTTGCTCGTGGAAACAGACCTGTACCCTTGGTTGCCTTACATCCATGAATTATTTCTATTCTTTTAGTTTATATTTTATATAGCTGACCTTGAGAACTAACAAAAATTGTTTAGTGGGAATGCCCCCTGCATCTTGTTTTTACTTCAACTTATTTCAGAAACATCCTGTAAATACTTCATTTGTTTTTGTGTAGCCATGTCCTATCATACCTGTTTAAAATGTCTAATCATGCCTGTCTTAACCAATCTAATAACCATAGCTCCTGTTCTTTTACTAGAGATATTTGCAGAAGGAAGATAGTTATCAATTAATTGTGATAATATTTGATTCTCTTAATATGTTTTGTGATTTTGTTTACAGGGGTGATGATGATATTAATGATGTAGCAGCAATGGGAGGTGTAAATCTAGCAGAAGAAACACAGAGGATTTTAGGTTCTACAGAATTTGTTGGAACACAAATAAGATCATGTAAAGATGAAATATTTTTACACACGTTGCCATTGCAACATAGAATTAGGCAAATAGGTATGTAATATTTTTTCATTGTCACCACATTTAGTTGAAAAATTATATTTTCATGGTAGTGGGTTATAATTCCGTTTTCATTTTCAGTTGCGAGACATGGATTAGATGAACCATCTCCAGAAGTTTCTGCATTAATTTCCCATGCGTGTCAAGAAAGAATTAAGAACCTCCTAGAAAAGTTAGCTGTTATTGCTGAACATAGAATAGATGTTATAAAGGTGAGATAATCATAAATAATATCATGTGGCATGAGTGGTATTTGGGAAGAATATTTCACTAAAAATAAATATGTTGCTAATCTAAGTTTGCCCGAACTTTACTCAGCATGTAAACAAAGACACATGGTAGTCACTTTTCCTTCTTTGCTGTCAGACACCACAATATTTTTCAGTGTCGAGGGTGATACTAGTTACCTTTAAAAATGAAGTTATTTCTTGACTACATGCCTCATACAAAATTGAAATAATGTTCTCTTCTCTATTGGAGGTTAATCCAACACTGAGACATACCCTGAAGTCAATAGATGTAAACATATCTCTTTGAAATAACGTTTGTTGGCCAGTTCAGCATTATGTCAGCACCGTGCTTTTGTCCACATGAGATGTCTCTGTCAACATGTTTCTTGTTTGATATCCTTTTTGGAACAAGGGACAATTGTTTTAGCAATGGATTTTTTAACCAGTTGCAGTTTTATTCTTAAATGAGAAAGCCGTAAAAGTTTGTGCTCTCTTTTAGTTATAAGTAAAACAGTGTACTTGGGTAATTGTGTCAAATCAAATTGATTTTTATTACCACATCAAACAAGATAAGCGCTGCCATTCTCTGTACATAATGTTCAAAACATTTGTAGGAGTAAACCTGCACTAGCAGCTAAAAATCCAACAGCGGCATGTGGAAGTTGAATTCACAGTTGTCAGTTTCAATGTAAGGGCACATCATAAATTATGTTCACTGATATTTAGGTGTATTATATCTGTTTGGTATTTTGGAAGTACTATAGAACAAGTACTAGTGAAAATAGTGTGTTATAATAGTTTTGCTGAAACAAGAGCATGCATTTGGGAAAGATTGGGGCTAGAAAAAACATAGCCAGTCATGAAGAAAAAGTAGAAGGATGTATAAAAAGTTCATTTACACTCTAAGTAAAGCAAGAGTGAACAGACCTTAGTAAATATTAATGTCAACAAGATACTAATATTAAGTATTAAATTAAACACCAACTTTCAAGCCTCATTACTTTAACACCAGTTGTACTAAAGACGACTTCAGTTTTGTCATTTAACGACCTCTGTGCCTTTGTCACTAAAAACAAGTTCGCATTGCTACAAAACTAGTGATAAAATTGCGTGTGTAATACATCTCTGGTTCGTCAAGATGGATGGAGTTCTTCAACCTCATTGGTAGATGGTTCATCAGATAAATTATTGTAAAGTAAATATATGAGGATGCAAGAAAGGAATACTTTATAATTACAAGCAATTTTTGTAGTAACTTGTTAACACTTTGTTCTTGAACTTCCTTTAGTTACTTTTCATTTAATTTTTTTTAGCAATCAACACTACCTCAACTTTCTTCACTTAATCTTACTACAGTAAATTACATACTTCCAGATTAATTTAGTGTAATTTCACTTTCAGATATTTAGTGAAAATTTGTTTCCTTTTCTAGAGTAAATAGAAATAGTTTCTCCATAGAGCATCTGAACGAATATTCTTCGTAGAAATTCTTTTCATGAGACCCTTGCAATACCAATTTGTCACACTTCCTTCCCGTCTGATGCAAATTTCTTGCGTACTGTTGAGACTCTGATTGTAAATGAGATTTCTTCAACTTCGAACACTTTGCAGCTCTCATAGTTTGTTGTTCTTTATCCTTAGAAAGTCAGGTCATGGTAATGAAATTGTTTGATAGACCTGTTTTCTAACCAATAACCTTATTTAGTGAATAGGAGGAAGTGTCCGTAGGAGTCATAATGTATAGTTTTGCTTTAGTTATGAATGCAAATACTAAGCATAGATTATTAGAAACTGGTAAGTGATGGTCTTTAGTCGAAACTCTACCATGACATTATTATTTAATTGATTATTGTAAATTTTTAATTTGGTTTTCCATGCTTTCTCTGATCAATATTAGATGAATGCCATAGCAGTACCCTAAAAAATGGGCTACAGACCACATGCAATCTTTTCTCAATCTTGTCCTTATGTCGCTCCCTTGCACCCATACTTACTGACATGTACTACTCTATCACACACTTTGTGATCTCACATTCCAGTATGTTGACCTTCCAGGATATAACATGCTCTTCATTTGCAGATCTAATTAACTCAGTAGTTGACACACCCAGAATCAATACTTACTTGAAAGTAGATAAGATTCACTGAGTAGTTATGGACAGGCTCATTTTATTTCTCTGATATGAATTATTATGTTTCAGTTGGATTCACGATATGAAGTGACACAGGATGTTAAAGGTCAACTTAAGTTCCTAGAAGAATTGGATCGTGTAGAAAGAAAGCGGCATGAAGAACACGAAAGAGAATTGCTGCTTCGGGCAGCAAAAAGTAGATCAAAGTCTGAAGTCCCTGAACAAGCGAAGCTAAAAGCTAAAGCCAAAGAGGTAAATGTAATATTTAAGTTTGAAATGATTTTTAGTGTCCTTTTTCTTCCATTCTTGTCATTTGGATATGCCATTCTGTGTGCATATCCATCCAGTGTTCAGAAGAATTTCAAGTCTGACCTCTCCTTTTGTATTAGTTAATGTTCCTGTGGCTAAAGCACTCGTTCTCCGAAGTCCTGGGTGCAGTAAATTTTTAGTTTAATCATCTAGCATTTGTGATAGGAAAATGTTTTTTTTAGGTGTGTTTATCACTTGATATGGTCTTACTGTCTAGAGACGTCTTGGGTTTTTCCTCCATTTTGTAGGAAACTATCAAGTGGTATAGACCATTACTTGCATGGTTGATGTGCTGTTAATGTAGGTGTGAAGTATTTGTTCCATCCAGTAGTGCTAAGAGCATCTACACAAGGGTGGACCCTAACGGCTGAGTGCTGTTGTGGCCTCAAAACCCAAGTCTTTCATACAACCAATGGCGCCTCATAAATCTTTTTACGTTTAGATCTTTTGACATTTAATGTTTTTGTATAGCTTTTGATAAATTATCCATGTCAAAAGATGCATCTCTATTCCAAGTATTCTCCTTAATTGACAATAAAAGATGGCCAACAATAAAGCTTAGCTTTAACTTCACTACCTTACAGCCATTTGTGTGAATTGTACTACAAAGGATTGAATTTTCTTTCTAAGCGGCTTGCATGCGAATAGAAATTTGAGTCTTCGATGTGAACAGGCAGTAAGAGAATTCACTGGCATACGCACAAAATGTGCAGGCGTCAAGCATCCAAACAAGTGCATATGCTCTCTACAGGACGTTTTCCCAGAATACAGTGTGAAGCCAAGCAGTGCCAGGCATGCCTACCTTGAGAGGCGGATGCAGGCCATATCTCTTCGGGAAGAGACGAGACAGATGGCATGACACATGGGCTGTTGTTAGAAAACACATGAAATGGAAATACAGCTTGTGCCATGATAATGCAATGTTCATTATTAGACATCGGATGTTTAGGGAAATGCCTACTCTATTGGAAGAACTTATTTAAAGGCTAATAATATATGTGCAGGAATCACAATTGACGACATATAACAAAGTTGTATAATGCTTATTTTTGCTTTTTTAAAAATTTTTTTTAGCATAAATGCCTTTTTTGCATAAATACCTTTTTTTGTAATGCAAGAGAATTTTTAAGAGTATACCAGCAGATTTTTCTCCATTTCTTTATTTCATAAATGCCAGCCATGTTCTGAGAACATTGGCAATTCACAAGACACTGAGGGCACCAAACTTTTTAGTGGAAATAAATATAAATTCCCAGAAGGTTTCAGTGTTGCTAAAGTTGGACTTCCAAAATACATGCCTCTTACATGTAAGCCAATTGTGATGTTTGAAAAGTTACTAGTAATATATTGCAATGCAAAATATTGAGACTAAAACATAGAGAAGTTTTAAATCTGTAAATCCAATTTTACCATAAAATGTACGTACTTGCTTTGTGCATTTAAATTTACAAAATAATATAGACAAAAATTGCAAACAATTTTTCATTTTATTGTTTATGGCAGTGCCTTTTGGGTGCCTGAAAGACAATTTTTTACTGCCTAAACATCTGATGTCTATTCATTATATATTTCCAGATGAATAATATTTATATCATGTTAAAATTGTAAGAGTTCTTTATTATTATTTATTATTATTATTAATTATTATTAATATGAAATGTATTAAACTAGTACATATTCATCGGAGTAGGTGGTGCCTACCTTGCCTACCTATAGGAGCCACCACTGCATACAATTGCTGTGAATTGCTGTTAAATTTCTCCTGACACTGCATTTAGTATAAAGGGTTAATGTATTCAGTGTAAATATTTTGAAACAAAATTCCTATTTGATATCATCTTCAGTTTTTCATTTTCTTCATAAAATGTGGATTAGATTTAAAATTTTGTTGTATCTCATTTTATCATATAAAATTGAAATGTTTATTGGTTAAAGTTGCTAAGGACATTGTCATGTTACTATATAGTTCATTGTCTGTACATTTTTCCTTTTAGACTGCAATTGTTGAAAACCTAAACATCAAGATTATACCTATATACAATAAAACTTCATTTATACTTTTATCAGGGGACTGAAGGGAAAAAATATGTAAATGAGAAAAATGCATAATAGAAAATGCGAAAAAGGTGCAAAATCAAATCTCAAATATTGCTATTGTGTTCTAAACATGATATGCACATAATATTCTACTCTTTGTGCATAATGTATTCCTAATACATAACTCTCAGAAAGAAAGTACAAGAAAGAAAGTTCTCGTATTTGGTATTCTGATCTTAGGATGTTCACTTTTCTTTGCACCTAAAGCATAAATTTCCTTCTCAAAATGTATCAACGGTTCCTTAATCATCCATGTGACATAATTCCCACATATTTTATACAAATAATCCAGATATTTACTGTGTGATGTTGGCAAACCTTACGCAAAGCCATACTTGGTGACATATGAACATTAGTGGACATTAGTATCACTATTCTTGCACACTGTGGTTTAGTCCACTGTCCTGACAGTTTCTCTCTGATTCCAATAGAAAGCTGGTAGGCCTTGCTTACTAACAAAAGTAAACAAACTCAACACCAGACTAAAACACACAACCTTAGACTGAGGACGATGTAGTGATTCTCACTTGCAAGGTCATTATGTCATTATGCTAGTGAGCAAATCACTTTTCTCTCGTTATACAGTTTGGACTTTAATTATGGCCGTATAAGCATAGAAAGCAGATAAACATAAAACTCTGAACTAATTTAACATAGAAAGTATAGGAGCTTAAGTGGGTCTTAGAAATCAATGCATGCAAGAGGAAAACATATGAATGGAATTTCTGTGTTTATTTATAGTACAATGGCAAGGCAGAAAATTCTGATTATGTCCACAATAATGATGCAGCTCAAGTTGCTCGTGACAATATTGTCAAAACAAATATTACGAACATAATAGAATAACAAAACTATACTATATAACAATGATAGTGACAATAAGCTTTACAGTAATGATTAAAGCTGGGAAGTTAATGCAAGGTATTAGCCCTCAAATATGCATGAGAATGTCATAAAAATGTTGAAATATGCACAGAAATATTTTAAATATGCTCCATTATGTATACAAAAATGCTTATTTTGCACTGACATTCACACCTTTTGGCCAACTATAGAAAGAGCGTATTGCATATTAAAAATAGATTCTCTACTTCTGCACATTTTATTTTGCATTATGAAGTGTCATAAAAATTTTGTTAAGATTTTCTGTTTCTTAGGAAGTATCTCCTATTTTGAAAAGTCCTCTTCACATTACACGATATAATGGGCACAATTTTGTGTTTTGACACATTTGTAATAAAGACATTAACTGAAAGGTAGGTACACTGAATGTGTTTTCTCTTTCAAGAATCTTCCAATCTATTTATTTACCCGATATATATTTTTCTCGATACTTCTACATACATTTTACTTTGCCAGCCCTGGCCATCAGTCATCTACAAGTTTTTATATATTCTTGTTTCAGTCATTAAGGAACTCTGTTGTGCATTAATTTCAATTTATTAAAAATAAATGTGTTCTTTTATTCAGAGAATTGGAAAATATACGAATAAATGCATTTTTATGCCCTAAACTTCCAAAATATGAATTATTTGCAAAAGGTTTTCTATTCAGATTCAACATTTTGTCCTGAAATATAGATATTTTAAGATTCTGGTGAATTGACTGTTAACAAAAAATATGCATTTGCATTAACTTTCCAGCTTTAGTAATGTCTATCTATAAATAAAATTAATATGTGTGTGATTTCAATGTAATTTCCTTTTTATAATCTCATATAGATGATAAAAAAGTTCATTTGTTTTTATGATTTTTGTCTGTCTAATCTCTGAAACAGCTGAGTTGATTTCAATAGGGTTTGCACTGCAAGGCAGAATATTTTGTTGTTATAACAAACTTGAAGAATATTTATTTTTTCATACAAATTACTGTTTTATTCTGATCTTTTATTCCAAATGCTTTTTAATTCATTTTAATACACCATTATGCTTTGAGTAATTGCAGGTCAAAATTGTTTCGGGAAGTTTGTTTGCCATATGTATCTGCTCACAGCTATCCGTAACAATGATGGTTGTAGTAACAGTGATCATTACAAACATCGCTGGATAGGGTAGAGAGGGACAATGCCAGGTGAGGCATGAAAAGGCTGGGACAATGGAAAGGATAGCAGCATGGTGTGTTTGGGCAGGATAGGATGGAGATACGCCTTAGATATTGTAAAGATAGAATTCATTTCTTTTCCAATCAAATGGTTGGAAGTAATAAATAAATATCTGGCAAGGTAGGATACTTTTGCCCTAGTCACTTCTATTGCAGTGTTTCAAAGGGTTTGTCATGAAGGACCATTTGTCTGATTTAAGTTGATGTCCCAGCTACTAAGTATTGTTATATCGTTGATACATTGTTTGCAGTGAAGGGCACTTGTAGAATCTCCATATGATCTTGTGTCAATCAGATTACAACTGAATCTTCTCAGCTTCAAGTATGATAATTGAAGTTGTAATAATCTCACTTCATAGGGTAAGGTCTTCATTGCCAAGGGGACTTTTGTTATTACTTTGAATTCATTCCAACAGATTTGCATTGTAAGTGAAGTATGGAGACCAAACAGTGCCCTATTCTAGAGTAGGTCTTACATGCGAGACCCGTATGTTACATATATTCTCTTCAAAAGTGCTGGTGATAGTTGCTTGAAGGCTAAGCCACCACCTCTTCCACCCTCAGCTTCGCCTCCATGCATGGCACTAGTGTGGCATGCATGCCATCATCTGCCCCCCTCCACTCCCACTGCTTCTACACTCCCCCCTTAGGATGGTCCCAGTGCTGCCTAGTGCTCTTGATATCAACATAATTTGCTTTGATAGCACTCTAATCAGCATGGTGCCACCATGGAGTAACTTTCCTGG